ATGACATATGGGGCAACACAGTGAATGTGGCCAGTCGCATGGACAGCACAGGTGTTCCTGATTGTATCCAGGTAACCACAACATAATAAACTCTTTGCTTATACAAGACTATTTTTGGTAAAACACAGCTTAGAATCCCCCATTAATTTTCTTCTTCAAAAGTGCAACACTATACATCGATTACTATATGCAACATTGTATTTATAAAGATGGTGCTGCCCTCTCTCTTCATGTTACTGCAATTGCAGCTTGCAAGAGCTTTTTTGTGACCTTTTAGCTACTTAGTTAATGCTTAAAGTGAAATGAGAAATTTAAAATTAATTAAAATTTCTAAATGCTTTTCTTCTCCAGTTAAATGTGTAGAATTAACGATAATTTTGTTAGTTGATTTCCCTGAAAAGTGTAAACACGGACTCAGTGGTTGTTTAAAAACATTGCTCTGTTTGTTTGAGCATCTCGACCAGCCTGGCATAGCAACAGTGGTTTAACCAATGGCCTGAGTTTGGGGTGTGGCTATCTGTTTATCCAACCAATGGAAGACAGTTGAATTGGCCATTTGAAAACTAACTTTATTTTTGCATTTCTCTGGTTCGGCACACCTCATCTTTAGTTTTTGGCTAATTAGAATTCAGTGTGTAATGATTATGATGTTTTTCTTTATTTCCTATAGGTGACCACTGACTTATACCATGTACTAGAAAGTAAGGGCTACCAGCTGGAGTACCGTGGACTGGTGAAAGTGAAGGGGAAAGGAGATATGGCCACTTACTTCCTCAACAGTGGTCCTGTCTGCAGTTAACACTGACCAAATGCCTCTCAATGCACTGAAAAGAAGGAAGGACAACAAAAGGCTCTGAATGGGATTTGAGCAGTTCCAAATATAACCACTCACTCAAGTTCTCTAGCTCACAAACATTAGTGGGCACATGTGGTATTTATATATGCACCTATTGGGAATAATGAGGTATGCTCTACCTAAAAGATTTGATGAAGAAGTGTTGCCTTAGATGGAGAAGACTTTGAAGAAAGTTTGGTTTTATTTTTTATTTTGTGGGAAAGACTTCTTCCATACCAAAATTTGAATTCTTTATTTATTTTGACAGGTTTTAAACCATGTAAATAAAAAAATGATTATATATGCAAGCATCAAGAAGCAAGAAGAAACTGACCAAAGAACAAAGTATTTGATATAGGAACACTACACACGCCTGGTAAACTGTTTGAAATGTCAGAACAAATGTTATTCATTTCTCTGGTTTTCCTTTTTTGGCCTCCTGTCACTCTCTACCACATTGTATTCTATTATAAACACTAAAGCAAAAAACATCTGTCTTCATTGAAGGCCTTAGAAACAGAAATCCTAATACAAGTGACTTGTATTTATAGTTCGTATGATTTATGAGTGATCAACATGTTTTTCCCTTTTAGTATTTGTGTACAAATGAGGTAAATGAAGGACGAGAATGGTACTGGACACATTCTCCTTGGTCATTTGTTCATGTGTGTGGACGGTGTGTAAATGTGTGTCTGTTATCTTTAGGGCATGATAGCTCACTGTGAGGGTTATAAAATGAATTTCAAATAGCTTTTTTTGCCAGATTAAGTGCTAATTAGATTAAATTCTTTGCATTTATGTGTTCAGTTGTTAACTGATGTAATTTCCTTCTCATTTGAGTGTTACACAAATTTCAGCTCTTAATTTATTAATGTATAAATCAGTGAAAAAAATGAACCCAAATATGATGGTCACAGTATGGTCAGCAACGGTTTAGTCTTCTTAAGACCCTTGTAAATATGTGTAAATGCGCTGCCAGAGGCCCGTTGGGTTTAGCGGTTGCTGACAAAAGTGGCTGGACTGCAAAGTTGTTCGTTTGACACTGTTCATCATAAGTCTTGCACATTTGTCAACATTTAAAAAAAATTATGCAATTACCGGTCAAACGCATAGGTTAGCGCTGCTGCAGAGTATTTTTGTCATAATTCTGGAATTTACCATTCCCACTGTATAGATGCATCTTGATTGTGTTGCAAGAAATATCCTTCAGACCTTCACCGTCCTGAACATGAATTTCTCAACATGAATGTACATGTACGTTTAACATTCTCACTTTGTCATAGACGTAAAAGCACATATGGTTTTTAGTTCAAATATGTTTGTGGTACATGGACCTTTCAGGACCTTTTTCATTAAAAGGTGGCAAATCAGTAAATTGGGTGTTTTATTTAAGCATAATGTTATCTGTATCCAAACAACACTAGTTTGTGCAATTTGTCATTCATTTCTTCTCATTTTAATTACAAGTGGACATACAGGCCACAGTCAGTATAAGCTGGACAAAAAGGTTAAATATTAGGCACTTTCCACAAATATGGTATAAAATCGAATCTAAAATACTTTTCTTAACAAGTGGTCAGTGAAAGCATAACCTTCAGAAGTAAAGCTTATTGTCAACCTCAGGAGGGCAAGCTAAATTTTATCTATTAATTTTCACCATAAATTTATAACCGTAGCAATGGTTTGCAAAATCTGGCACTCTGCTACATGTAACCTACATGTGACGTTTTTATTAATTAAAATTAGTTAAATAAAAAACATTTTTCAGCAATTAATGAAATATGAGTTCAAAAGATTCTTTTTTGGATTCGTTTTTGTGCTAGGTTCATTTTATGTTAGATATTTTATTGAACATAATAGGTAGGCTAACGTGAAGTAATGAATATTGTGTACATCATTTGGAGCGTGCCATTTGTTAAACCGTTAAAAAGGTTTCCTTTTATTTTCAACCTTTATACTGTACATCAAGATCATTTAATACCTCAAAACGAAGCTATCAGGTTAGACAGACAGACCATTGTTGGGTGTGAGTGGCTCTAGTGATTGTTGTGTTAATGGACTCTTCTCTTTGTTCATGCTCAGCTTGCTGTATTTTCTTCAAGTAGCGGCAGTGTCAGTCGATAGTTTGTAATCACGATTCTCTCCTACAGAAGTACCGACCCCATTTCCTCTTGACCTGCCTTTCTCAAATGTCTGAATAAATCTGTATTCGGTTACACGTACGCGACACAAGAGGCATTGAATTTAATTGCATCCCAGTTAATAATTTATATACGTTGAGGTATAGTTTGTTAACTTACCACATCCTTTTCTGAGCCTTAATTAAGTAATCAACGTCATCCAATTTTAGACAAGTGCAAAGCAACACTGAAATCTCCCTACATGTTTAGCAGAATTTTCACTTGGCTGAAAAAACTTGTCATCCCACATTTAAGTCATTTGTTGAGCGAATTGCTGTTTTTGAATGAATCTTTAAAGTGAATCATTGTCGTTCACTTCCATGGACTGAACCATTTGGGTTCACTGAATCTCCCCTTTGAAGCGTGTCTGCTTTTTACTTGTGAGGAGATGCTTGTGATGCTCAGGGTTGCCAGGTCTCAGAAAAATTTCCAGCCCAAAGCTTACTCAAAACCCGCCCAAAAAGGAATGAAAACTAGCCCAATTTTTGCCCTGTCCAATCATAGCTGACAGCAGCTTTATTTCATTATTGCCCTTTAAAATAAACATTTTGATTTTATTTATTCTATGTTTTGAATCTTAGCCAGACTTGTTTATATGTAGTATACACATATGAAATTATTTCATCTGTATTTTATTTTTTTTATTTTACCCTTTCTTTCATTTTTAATTTGATATGTCCAGAAATAATTATGACAATATTTTTTCCATATCATATCAATATTTATCAGAATATTCATTTACCATTATTATGAAAGGAAATGCTTTGAGAATGCATGTAAACACACACACACACGTAGTAGTAGTAGTAGTAGTATTTTTTTCATAAATTATTTCAAGCCAACATTTAATTTAGGGCCCCAATGAAATTCACTTTATTTTCCCCTAGATTCTGTGTTTTCCATTTTATTTATTTTGTGTTTTATCATTAATTTTGTATGATTTATACAAATTTATCATGATAATTCCTGTCTAAAAACTTTTAAAAATTAATCAATCCTTTAAAATATAATATATAATATAATATATAACAATTAATTTACAACAAAAATATTGCATTTTTATTTTTGTCAACTAAGATGATGTACGACAAAACTATGTTTGATATTAAAACACGGATGAAAAACATTTGGGTTGAATGATATTCCGTACAAATATAGAATTAGCCTATTATTTTGAGACGTTCATTTTACTATATCATAATCAGTAATATATTTCTGTTAAGATTTCTTAGGATTTGTCATGAAGTTTTTCAAATAATACGATGAAAAGCTCTCTCGGAGATGCTGTGGAGATAAAGTTCATAAAGTGCGACGCAAATGCAGAAATCACTGTGAGCTTCACGTATGTTTGAGTTTGTGTAGCAGACAAAACTATGACATTTAAACAGAGACACGCAGAACATGCAGATTTATAAGCGACATGCTTTGACTGGCTGTTGTGTTCATTTCTGCTGTGTAAAAGCAATGCTCATTGCTCTGGGTGAAACTCACATAGGCTACTAGTTTGTGATGTGACATCCGCCTCTCCGTTCTCAAGTTGCCAGGTATATATATTCCAAGTATAATACACGTTATTAAAAGGATCTATTTTCATTTTTATTTGTCTATAGATACACTTTGGACGGCCGCGGTACATTATAAAAGTAGCCCAAAAAACCGCAACCCGCGGCTCTTAACCCCCCCCGCCCCCCCCCCGACTGCATTTTCAAAATAGCCCAATTGTGCGGAAAAATCACGACCCTGGCAACACTGATGCTGAAACTATTTTAGCAGATTTGGACACGCAAAACGACTCTTTGTTTTGAACGAATCGGTTGATTAATCCTTCAGAGACTCACAAAAGACAAGTCGCTAATTTGCTGTCTACAGATGTATAGCAAACCTCAGAAAGTATCCGTGAATGAACCTTTTTGGTGAACACGAACACACTCAACAGATTCGAATCATTGAGATGAATCAAAATCCCCATCATCACTAGAAGGAAGTTCCGGCTTTAGGACCCAGACGACTTTCAATCATTTGAACGAATGGCACCTGTTGCGTTCAAAGGGAAGCCGGGAGGCCAGTGCTGTTGGTCGCTTGAAATCGTCGCGCGCTTAGTGAACCAAATATCTCTAAAACGCGAAGTTACAGAGTAACAACATTCGTCCATCGACTCGCAGCTCAAACAAACGGTGTCTCGTTAGACGAGGAACCGCGTATCTATCTGCCTCTGGGAGAAGCACATGATTGACTGAAATTATTACAGGTAAGTTTTGAAGATTTAATTAAATGAGTTATTTATTTGTTTCGACGTGTTTCGCGTCATGTCTTTTGTCAACAAAAATAACCTCGGCGTATCTTCCTTTCTTTCTTGATATGAGCGGCTTTCATCTTTATTTTTAATAGTATAGGTTACCCTTTTCTAACGCACAAAAGCTCGTTTGTCGTTCATTATTCTCATTTATTCGAAAATAAGGCCCATAGAAGGCTGGGAAAGGATAAAATTTGTGTCATACTGTAAATATTTTAACCATCATATATTCTTCACTCACTTCCTTATCTATTCAGATAAGTTTCGCTTAGTTGTCATGTTGCGTGGCATAATTTTTTTGTTTAAACTTTAAGGAAGTGCTTGGGGCTTGCGAAATTTTCGAAACACTCACATTATTCAGTAAGGAAAAACGCAGCTTAACCAATATAGGCTATGTTACTTCATAACTTGTGGTTAATAATGTCCATTTGAGATCATAACCATTCAAATGATTCAGTATTAATGCAGGAGAACCAGTTTTAGTTTGAATGATTGGGTAAGTCTGAACACCTACGCAGAAAAATAGCAGAAGTCGGTCTGACTGTCTCTTGGCCATTACCCGTCTTGGGATTTGTGATGTAGATGTTTTTAAATAGACTGGTTCCATGGGCACTGAGGTTACTGATTCATTTAACACCATAAGTTCCATTGTCCTGACATTTCCTATTTTGAAAGTAATTACTTGAGGTTGAAATGCAAGAATGATAGTGCTTTAAATGTGCCAGTCCTGACCATTAAACTCGTACCAAGCAGTTAGTGAGATCCAGTTTTTTCCCCCTGTACAGTTAGTCAGATCACAGGCGACGTGTCACAATTTTGAAGTGTATTTATGCAAAGCTTCCAACGCCACCCATTAAATGTAGTGGGAGTGTGTGGTGAGCCACCTGCTGCCACGTGGATCCAGCAGGGCGAAGGAAGGATCAGGTGCAGAGGGTGTTTGTTGTCAGGTGAGGTTTGTTTGCTCTGTTGCTGTGATCCGTTTGAGAGTCCACAGTGCAGGCTTTCTTTGCTAATTAAGAGTGGGGCATGGGTTGCTTTGTTGTGGAGTTTGTGTAAATAAACAATTTTCCTTCATAAGTGATCAATGTGGTCTGTTTTCACAGTTTGGTGATTGAGATTGGCCAACAGAATGCGTCTGAGACGTCGTCTCTCCCCCCTGAAGCTTACTATTCTGGGTGGCACACTTTTTATGGTCATTCTGGTGGTGCTCCAGAGGGACGTTGGCAGCGGCTCGCTTCAGGACCCCTGGCTACAAGATCTCTCTAACAAAAAGGAGAGGGTATTCGAGATTGTCCGCGGGGCGGTTAATAACTTGGCCTTCCAGATCGGAGCCCCACAGCCCCCATCGGTGGGAGTGCTGCCCACCCTGGACCGAAACTGCCCCCCGGGTTTCTACACTCAGGCCGATCTCAAACCGTGGATTGAGAGACCTCCTCAGGACCCTCAAGCACCAGGAGCCAATGGCGCAGCCTTCCAGAAAGCCAGCATGACTGCGGAGGAGGAGAAGGAAAAGCAGGAGGGCATGACCAGGCACTGCTTCAACCAGTTTGCCAGTGACCGAATCTCCTTGCACCGCAGTCTTGGAGATGACACCCGTCCACCCGAGTAAGAATGGGCACATTGTTTGGCACCATGAGAAAATGTGGAATACAAACAATTCATTCAATTCAGCAACCAATCTGCCATAATAATGATTCACTTCATAGGTTAAAGTAAGGCAGCACTCATGACGTGTTATAATGTTTGCTGGCATTTTAGATGCCTTTTAATTTACGTTGACTCATTTGGTCTGTTTACACAGAAACATAAGGGTGCAGATTTATCTGTTGATTTAAGGGTTGGGGCTAAAGCCATATAAATGCTGCCCAAACACTCATTGTAGATTAGAGTCCTTACTGTTTTGCTGCTTTGGCAGTTTCTAATCGCACCTTCACCTGTTGCATCATTGAACAATAGGTTGACGTGTTATGTTTCCCTTTGAATCTTATTATATTTAAACACTGTGTTAAGTAACAGGCCTTGAGCAATTTGCCTACGTCCTCATATTTATAATACTGATAATTACAGTGTTTAAACATGTATTTTGAGAATTATGTTTTAGAATATTACCTTCGACTTTGAGGCGTGTATGTTTGTCAGGGTTATTATAGTTAACTAAAACTAAACCATAAAAATGCTTTCATTATTTGGGAAAAAAACTGAAGTGAAATATAAAACAATAAAACTTATTTTATATATGCTAGAAGACAAGATGAGATTTCTCATTTACATTTAGTTTAACATGATTAATGCCAAAAAAAAAAAAAAAAAAATTGAAATAAAAAATGTAGACCTAATTTAACTAAAACAGTATATACATACATGTTCATACACACACACACACACACATATATATATATATATATATGTATGTATGTGCATATGTGTGTGTGATTTTTATTTGTTTATTTGAGTTTACGTGTGTATATATAGTACACACATATATAATTTTCTTTTTCATGCATCCATTATAGGTGTGTTGAGCGAAAGTTTCGCCGATGTCCTTCACTCCCCACCACGAGTGTGATCATTGTGTTTCATAACGAGGCATGGTCAACACTTCTGCGCACCGTGTACAGTGTTCTGCACACCTCCCCGGCGGCCTTCCTCAAAGAAATCATACTGGTGGATGACGCCAGCATGGCAGGTGGGCCCGGCCTTATCAGTTTATGCTGTAAAAATTAACTACCTGTAGAAATGGTGTTAATCTATATTCTTGGCTCAGTGGCAAACAGTTTTATTTAGTGGAATGTCACTTGTATGAGTGCATCTTCAGGTGGATGAAAAATGTCACAAACATACAGTAGAAAGATCAAGGAACCAGTTAAGGATGCAGAAAAAAAAAACTGTCTGAAGGAACATAAATGAAATCATATTGCATTGTAGAGAAAATATTAATATAAATTTACTGGCAATGAAAAGTTAATCTGCAAGTAAGTACTTTTAATTTTTCTCCTTATTAGATTAGTTCTCATTAATCTCCTCATTGGTTTTAGGTACTTTGTTAGTGCTGTAAGTGATAAAATAAAGGAAGTGTGTTAGTTCGTTTGAAGTCTCACCACAGGAAGCAACATGCTCTGAATCTATTTTTAGACATTGAAAAATGCCACGTTGAAAACAATTGACAATGTTAATCTTATGCTCTACAGTTGAAAAATTTGGGGTTGTAAGTCATTTATCCTCATGAATTATTCATCAAAAATACAGTAAACCAGTAATATAGTGAAATACTATTATATTAAATGACCAATTTATATTAAATAAATTATAATAAATAACCAACGTTTTTGAGTTTTTAAAATCAAATTAATTTCTGTGATGGAAAAGCTGAATGTTCAGCAGCCATTACTTCAGCCTTCAGAAATCATTCAATTATGCTGATTTGGTGCTCAACAAACTGTATAAGAAACTGTAAAAATTGTATAAGAACAGCATTTAGTTTAAATCTAAATATTTTGTAACATTATAAATATATTTACTGTCAATTTTTTATCAATTTAATGTACCCTTGCTGAAAAAAATAATCTCAAACCAGGTATTATTGTTATATTGATATTATTGGTACTTTACAATACAGAAGAAACAAAAAAAACAAGATTACATTAATGTCTGTCTTCTACATTTGCTCTTGTATGTTCTTGCAGAACACCTCCATGAGAAGCTGGAGGAGTATGTGAAGTCACTGAACATCGTGAAGGTAGTGCGTCAGCCGGAGAGGAAGGGCCTCATCACCGCCAGGCTTCTCGGAGCCAGCAAAGCTCAGGGAGAAATCCTCACCTTCCTAGATGCTCACTGTACGTATGTCATCACTTTTCATGACTTGCCCAGCCCAATTCCATTGTTTCACACAGCAGACCAGTTTCTATTAACACGTCATTAACATCCATCATTCTTGTTATTTTTTGCGACTGGATGGAAAGTAGTTTTTCAGGAACCTGCTCTTCAGGTGCACAGGCATGAGCTTAAAGTGGTTGCTCCCATGATTTTTTTATTTTCTTCTGGCACTCATGTCATTTGCAAAGTTATGCGCTGTGACAAAGGACTAGTATGTGATGCTTATCTTGTTCGCTTTGACCCACTGTAGGCGGGATTGAAGCCTAGCAACTCATGTTACACCTGCCAGTGCGTAGTGTTTTCTGATACCTTGTATACGATGAAAGGGTTGAAAATGTGACATGTCATCTTAGCATATGTGCTTGAGTAGCATATTTATGAACCCTCTTTTCTCTTTTGTCATGTTTTTGTTGTTACAGGTGAGTGTTTCCCTGGCTGGCTCGAGCCTCTTCTTGCTCGCATTGTTGAGGAGCCCACTGCCGTGGTGAGCCCTGAGATCACAACCATTGATTTAAACTCTTTCCAGTTCCACAAGCCCATGGCGTCTGCCCGTGCCCATAACAGAGGCAACTTTGACTGGAGTCTCGGATTCGGCTGGGAGGCCATTCCAGATTACGAGAACGCTAAACGCAAAGATGAGACGTACCCAGTAAAGTAAGTCACACATGTTTTATTTACATATTTAACCTTGCTCAAATACAGTTTTATGTCTTCGTGTTGTTGTGATTGACACATCAATAATTACCTTTCCCAAGTCAGGTTTTTTCCCAAAAAATTTACTCGCCCAAAAGAAATCCTGACAGGGTAATTAGATGGTGTCTCGTATTACTCTGAAGGTTTTTTTTGTGATTATAACCTGGGCATTATCCTGTTTGTTTACTTGTTACTTGCTAAAATACTTGGAAATATTGATCAATCAGAGAACCATGTAATGCAAAGTTATGAGATGTGTGATTTACATTTGTTCTGTCTAAGTATTCTGCTGCATCTAAACATGATGTAACTGCTGGAAATTCACTGTGATTTGTTACTTTGCCTTTACACACTGTGGTGTGTTAATGAAATGCTTGGAATTTTTTAAACACTGTTCATTCATCACCAGGTTCTTCCTGTCAATTTGATTTTCATGAATGAAATGACTTGGCTGGTTGTATCAAGTTTCACTGAGTATCAAATTAACCACTTTCTCTGAGTTTACTATGGCCATGTCTTAAAAGAGATTACTAAGAGTAGGCTACATGTGTCCTCAGCTAATTAAACAGCCTATACTATCATAAAGTACTTCATTCATAACCACTTTTTGCAGACTGCATACTGTCCGTCTTGAACAAGTGCAGCAGAATTGCACATTTAAAGGATTAGTTCACCCAAAAATGAAAATTCTGTCATTAATTACTCACCCTCATGTCGATTCAAATTCGTAAGACCTTCGTTCATCTTCGGAACCCAAATTAAGATATTTTTGATGGAATCTGAGAGCTGTCTGACCCTGCATAGACAGCAACGCAACTGAAATGTTCCCAAGTCCAGAAACGTAGCAAGGAGATCTGTAAAATAATCCATGTGACATCAGTGGTTCAGCGGACAGCTGGAGATAATCCCCTGCTCCGTCGTGGGTCATGTGTTCCGCACCAAGAGTCCTCACACCTTTCCCAAAGGTACAGAGGTCATTACACGTAACCAGGTGCGCTTGGCTGAGGTGTGGATGGACGACTACAAGCTGATTTACTATCGACGCAGCCAAAGTGCAGCTAAAATGGCCAAAGATGTAAGAACTGCTTTCGCTTTCAGAGGATTCAAATATTTACCTTGTGTCTGTGGTTATACAGTATATCTACTGTACGTGTAAGCAAAGAGCATACGATTAACTGCATGACTTTTGTTTCCTGTATGGTTGTGTAGAAAAACTACGGTGATATATCTGACCGTTTGAAACTCCGAGAAACCTTGCAATGCAAGAACTTTTCTTGGTACCTAACCAATGTCTACCCAGAAGCCTTTGTCCCTGATCTTACCCCTGTCAAGTTTGGAGCTGTAAGTCAGTTTAAAAACGCAACATTCATGACGATTTGCCATTTTAACTCAGTCTGGGATCAAATGTTTATTTATTTTATTTTGTGTGTGTGTAGCTCAAGAATAGGGGATCACAGCAATGTCTGGATGTTGGAGAAAGTAACAATGGGGGAAAGCCTGTGATTATGTATGTGTGTCACAACATGGGTGGCAATCAGGTATAGTACCATCACTCTCATTCACGTTGATATTAAGAGTAGAGGTGCTCTTGAGGGCATTTTGACTATGGTTTTCTTCTTGATCCAAAGAGAACGGATGTTCATCATGATGTGTTTGTTTTCAGTACTTTGAATATACATCACATAATGAGCTGAGGCATAACATAGGGAAACAGCTCTGCCTGCACGCGTCTCCTTACCCAGAGCCAGTGAAGATTGAGCTCTGTACACTGAAGGGCAAAGGCAGCAGTTTGACTCCGGAACAAGAATGGGTGTTCACAGAAGTAAGTGTCCTCTCAGAACAGAAATGAATTACTCAACTGGTCTTTCTTCATTTTTGCTGTCTCCATTTGTTATCAGATTCTATGTATGTTCCCTTTTACTTACTGTCTGTTGCAATCCTTTTTAAATATGTTGTATTTAAAAATGGTAGAAATGTTGTATATTAATGTAAACAACCGTTCAAAAGTGAATGGTCTGGTTTTTATTTATTTTAATGTTTTTTTTTTTATTTTTTTTTTTTAGTTCACCAATTAATAAGTTTTGATTTAGATTTTATGTATTTAAATTAATCGTTTTATTCAGTAAGGATGCATTAAATTAATCAAGTGACAGTAAAGACATTTATAATGTAGCCAAATATTTCTGTTTTAAATAAATGCTGTTCTTTGGAACTTTTCTGTTCATCAGAGAATCATGAAAAATATGGAACATGTTTCCACAAATTTAAGCTGTTTTTAGAATTTAGAAAAGTTTCTTGAGAACCAAATCCGCATATTAGAATTGATCCTTCAGAAATCAGTGAATATTTCAGTATAACTGTTTTATTATATTTTGGGATCAATGCATACAGCCTTGGTGAGAATAAGATACTTCTTTCAAACACTTTTAGAAATCTTACTGTCCCCAAATTTTTAAACGGTAGTGTGCTGTATATGTTTATATTATATTAGAATTAATAATTAAATAATCCTGTCATCAAGCAAAGGGTGAGCATACCAAATACAGCATTCAATATGCTGATATTCATGTAAAATTTTCAGGTCAACTTTTCACCTAAATCTAGGAGTTTAAATTCCTGTGATCTGATAGTTTTACCCCAGCCAGACGAGTAACTAGTTTTATTAAATTTTTTCTTCATGTTACGTTCATTTTAGGAGGACCTGCTGAAGAATCCGTCCTCTGGAAAGTGCCTCCATAAGAAAGGAGACAAGATATTAATGAGCCCCTGCGATCCAGCAGACCATCACCAGCAGTGGGCTTTCAGTTGACCTCACACTCCAATCGAGGAGCAAAGACGTTCACTCCCATAAGACCCACGAGGGAGGGCCAGCAGCCACAGCTCAGGCTGACAAACTCACTGTAGGCCCGAGCGGATGCACTGGGAGTGTATTGGATAGTTCATATCCATAAGCTCCTAAAGACATTATGATCAGACTGGGGTCAGGATGCTCAGGGAAGACAGAGTGGAGATCATGCACATCAACCCACTGGAGCATCACAGAGTGAACAATCCGGCAGCAAGATTGTTTACTTGATGCAATTTATTGCCTTATTGATGATGTTTACTGCTGCTTTTAAATGGTGTAGGTTTTATTTATTTTTAAAGAAATGGAAAATATTTTTGGAACATTGTTAGTGTTAAGGCCAATGAACGGCCGGCCTTGCCAACGATACATGTGATGTTTGTATGATCCCAATCATTTGCACATGCTGCAGGGGTTGAGGGTTTTCTTCAGCTCTAGTGAACTGCCACAAGACAGCAGTAGTTTCAGATCCTTCTCTTGTGTTTTTGAAGCTGTCAGTATGTATAAAGCAGCATGTGACTTGCATTGCTTGATTGTTTCGGTGTGTTGAGGTCTTTGGGGGAAATCATGCTCTAATAATGTATACATGTAATTAACTGTTTCATCCTCTTCACCTCTACATTATTATTCTTTATGAATTTTGACCACGGATTTATTCTTTAATAATTGGCAATTTAAAATATTTGATGTATAAAAAAAAAAAACACACTCCCAGATCATTTGCTTGTGTTGTTTTTCAAAACATATGTTCTGGTTGTTAACCGTTTAAAAATGTGTTTAAAAACTGTTCACCAGTTTATGATTCTTAAGGTCCACTGTCCTGCAGTATTTATCTCCAACACTGATAAAGCACACCTGCTTGTAATCTTCAGGTAAGCCTGAAGACCTGATTAGCTTGTTGTTTTACTGGGTTTGGAGCTAAACTCCAACAGGAGCAGAATTGAAGAACTAGTTACTGCTGTTATCACAATGAAATTGTGATTACTGGATATTGACCACTATTGTGATCCACAAAAGAAATAAAGCAACAAAAAGCTTCTGAAACCTTCTTACATTGTCTTACGGAGGTCCGTTTTACAATAGTAGTAGTTCTAGTTGTTATGGTATTTTAGTGAAAATTATAGAGATTTAGAGTTTTTTTTTTTTGGTCTGTTTAGCGTATATTAAAGGGGCCTTTTTGCATAAAATTATTTACTAGGTGGGCATGGTAGCTTTGTGTCCAACGGTTGTGACTTGTGAGAGCAAATTTGTCATTTCTCTCGTTCACCGATAGGTGGCAGTCGGCGTCATATTTCTGTTTTAGAGGATTATAAAAACAGGTTGTAAAAATAAGCTCTGAGAAACTGAAGGTTGTTCCTGGAAATTCTGCAAATACAGGTAACATGCTTTCACTGATAACGTAATCCTAACACGTGGCGTGAGAGTTAGTGCTGTTTAGCCAGCATGTTTAATACGGTCGTTTGTGCTCAAGTCTTATCAAATTTCAAATTGCAGCGCTCTGTGTTTGAATAGATGCTTTTCGACCTTTATCTCTTGTATATGCTTACCATGGTTACCGTAGTTTACGCCAAAACACCAACTGATTACTGTTGTAAAATGTAGTTCATCGTAAATGGCCAGTCAGTTATCAATATCAATTTCACAAAGGTATTTTATGTCAGCTGCCTATTTTGTGTTTCCATGCATACTTCAGGAAACAAGTGTTTGGTTATGTTCTGACATCAACACCAGGTGCACAGACAGTACTGAATGCTGTGATCCAAGAGGAAGTGCTTTTTCTGTCTTACTGTAAATGTTTAACGACTTTAACTTCCTCTTTTTGGTGTAGTGCGAGATAATCTGTTTGCTGGTTCATATGACATATCCAGAATTATCATTGCGTGAGTGATTCTTTTGTAACTCACAAAATGGTCCATAATGTGATAACGTTGATCATGCTTCAGCTGAACTTGCTGGAGTTTAAAATGTTTAGCAAAAAAAAAATAATAAAATTGTTCTAACTGTACAATTAAATTAAAAAAAAAAAAATTAAATATAAAATATATAACATAAAAAAAATATTAAATGTTTATTTTATAAAAATATTTGCATACAATTTTTAAAAAAAGTGCTGTTTTGTATTTTGAGTATAGTGATGTCATGATTGTGGTGCATATTATCTATGCGTGTATCTAGGTGAAAAATCAACATTGTCTTTAACAGAGGCTCTTACATAAGTAGGTTTTTGGAATCCCTCCTTGAGGGTAAAAGATAATATGAGAAATGCAATCTATAGTTTTGCTGCAGTGACCAGTTGTAAACAAAACAACAACAAAAAAGTTCCAGTTTGTGCAGATGTTTTGGTCCCCTGGCTCTGTTGTTATGCGAGAGCAGTCAAGGAGAGGGTGATGCTTTTCTGCATTTTTGATGTCATTTCACAGAAATGATCCTCTAACTCTTTTTGTTTCTTTTCTTCTTCACATTCTGAAATGCGGCACAGCTGTAAATGCATGTGAAGCTGATGTTTCTGTGGATAATCTGGATATATTTAACTCTTATAGATCTGGTTGTACCGGTGCTGCCAGAAAAGGCCATGAATGCCAAAAAGATGACCAAGAGGTGTGGAATGTACTTCAGTCCTGAGGATCTACTGCTGAAGATGTAACCAGTAATAATGAAGCACAGATACAGTTTAATCATAGATCACATACAGATCACACAGTGCTAGATTTTCATCCTGCTTCTCCACCAGGTTGAGGGAGAGAAGACACCCTCTGTCACATACAATTAAGATGGGTTATTATTAATTAACCAGGATTACAGGGTTTAAATCTCATCACAAGGTTATTATGAATAACCTGCAGTTGATCAATGTTTAATCAGCTGTTGACAGACAGTGATGTTACAGTCGATCATCTTTCCCCATAAACCTTTCTTTCTTTGTTTGGTTGCCAGAAGCTGCGATTTGATGATAAGAGTGGGATTCTGAAGTAGGCCTAACTTACAAACTAGTTATCTATTAGATTGTTAAAATCGAACCCTAGATAAGATAAAATGTAACTCATTCATGAAAACACCTTATTTATAAGGAACTACATTACATAGGATCTTCTAATTCACAATATACACTACTGTTCACTTTTTTCATTTTTTTCTTTTTTGAAAGAAATTAATACTTTTCTTCAGCACACTTAAAATGATCAAAAGTGACAGTAAAGACATTTACGTTACAAAAACATGGACTTTCTATTTATCAAAGAATCCAGAAAAAAAGTATCTTAGTTTCCACAAATATATTAAGCAGCACACCTGTTTTCAACATTGATAATAATACATTAAGTGACAATGTTACAGTGTTTCTTGAGCACCAGTTCAGCATATTAGAATGATTTCAGAAGGATCATGTGACACTTAAGACTGGCATAATGATTCTGAATATTCAGCCTATTCAGCCCAAACTTTAAAATATGTTAAAATAGAAATCAGTTATTTTGAATTGTTAACAATATTACTGTTTAACAATATATCTTAACAATATTACTGTTTATATATATATATATATATATTAGGGCTGGTAAGCGATTACAATTTTTAATCTAATTAATTACATGATGTCATGTGGCGATTAATTAATCTAATTAATCGCACATCAAATTTGGCTGAGAAATGATTCCCAAAAGATCATTTAAAGTCACTGTTGTGTAAAGCATCAAACAGACATTTCAAAAAGTAGCTTCAGCAAGAAATATTTTTATAAAATGTATTACATATACTCTTTTTGGACCATGAGGGTGGGTGAGTAAATGATGACACAATTTTCATTTTTGGGTGGGTGAACTATACCTTTAATAATTTATTTTATTAATTTTATTATTATTACTATGGAAATATTAAATTATTTCTTTAATGAAATTATATTCTAAATAATAAACTAAAACTGCCAGTAGGTGGTGGTAAATGTCTTAATGATTAAGTCATCGAGTCATCATCGAGATTTATTTATTCATTTGATTTGTTAAAATGGCTGGTTCATTCAGGAGTGAAGTAAATTGTTCTTTATGAATTGTCAATTGAATCATTAGGCTTGTTCGACTTGAAGCGGATCGTCACCATCAAACCGATCGGTGTGACATCAAAGTACAGCAAGAGCTATAGAGAGCATACGGCTCCTTATACTTTTGAATCGCTCTCGCGGTACTTTGAAGCAGGGGCGTCATCCGTCATGCACTCATTATTTTTGAGGGGGCACGAGTTGGGGGGGGGTCGTCATGATGTGACACAACCACAACAGCACTTATGTTTTTTATTTTTTTCCCTTTTTATTCGAAACATCCCCAAACGCATTAACTATATCATGAAATATCTTGATTCTCACCTTTATAGATTATGTTGATCTATGATGGTCAAAGTAACCTAATAATGTAATCTATTAACTATGCATAAAAACCTGTCTGTTTACTTAATTAACAGATATGGGTGTCATGCCATAACATATTTTTAATACGACTGAGTTTATATTTAATGTGAATTAAACATTGAAATTTAATGTGAATAAAAACTTTGCAAGTTAGGCTATTAATCATAACACTTTCATTGTACAGAAAGAGAGCAAAGAACATTTACATTATCAAAGAACATTTTCACTGACAGTCTAGTTCAAGCACTCTCAAAAACTCCCATTAAAATCACTGAAGCTGTTTACACTATGAAATTAATATCTTACAGATTCGTACACACATTTGCACT